TACATGCCCTGTTGACCAGCAAATTGAATAGCCCTTTTTTGAGAGGGGATAAATAAAATTGTTTGAGCTTATTTGTAAAATATGGTCTCCTAAAAAACTTTGCTCATACCCTTTGAACATTTAAATATTATGTCAAACCACAGCCACATTCTACATTTGCTATTATCAATCACTGCAAAAAGTATAGCCTTTGTAGAAGACAGACCTGAAATAAGCCATTGTCAACAATTCATAAGAAACGGGGGACTCAAAACAAGCGGATGGCATTACCCTTGTCAAAAAGCCTTTTAGATGACAAAGAAATTGGTCAGAGTTTATCTAAAGTTGGAGGAAACTTAATGTTAGATGTTGCTGGAAAAAAAAAACTGATTAAAGCAGTAAATGACTTTAGGCCTGGGCAGAGGTTCAGCTGCCAGCAGGAAATAAACTGAAAAAGTCAAGCCAGGAAAAACACATTCAGGTGTTAGGAGGCTCCTATCAAAGTCCAGAAAAAGAATAATTAAGGCATATATGGCAGTTTGCTGCTCACAGAAGTTCTCAATCCAGTCGACTGACCTAAGTCTATTTAACGAATTTGCTTAGTTGTTATTAGTAGGTGTTCTAAGCTGGAAGAGACATTACCAGAGATAAATTTTCATGAACCGTAACAACACTGTGCTACTTTGTGTTTTTCCATCAGATCCCAATAAAATATATTGAATTTTGTTGTTTTTAAATGAAAACAGACAAAACTATTAAAGTTTGATGAATGTTTTTTTTTTGCAAAGTACAGTACATGAATGTGGCCTAAGTTACACATAGAATATAAATAGCTGGGACAAATAGGAGTTAAAAATATAGGATATACCTGGATGTTTGCTTTGGATTCCTAGTCACAAGACTTTCAAACTTTTTGCAATCATATAACAGACTAAAAAACAAATGACAAACATAATAAGCATAAGTTTATCAATTGTTGTGACGTCCCGGTTTCTCATCTTGAATGTCTTACAGCGGTCCATGATGTTATAACAGCTGCAGTGCATCAGTGTCGCAGAATGATTATCATCTTGTCATCTTGTGGCAAATCGCAGGAACCGATTCATTTTGGCAACAACCAAAAGCATGTCTTGTATGAGCAGAAAGTTGGCCTACACGATGCTCTGATGGAAAACGGTCCCAAAATAATTCTGGTGGAAGTGGGTAAGTACTGGTTTTTCTAAAACTGAGTGCATACATTCTCATTAATTTACATTTTTTCTGCAATATAAACTTGCAATATATACATGCTCAACATATCCTCATCAAATTGAAATGTATGAATCAGTGGAGACCAGAGCATGTGAGCGGAGCAGAAGTAATATGGTGGAGCTCAGAGAGGTTTTCTAGCCGGAGTAAGGGTTTTGCTCCGCTTCAGCTCGCTCCGATGCGCTCACAACGTCAAATTAAAATGTCGGATTATAAATTCTGTAAAATAACATTTATTTGATTTAAGTCTAGTAAAATAAATTAATATTTAAATAGGAAATGTGGGTCAACATGAATGGAGCGAGGTGTTACTTTCACAGCTGGGAAACAGTTTGATAATTTAACAGCCAGTTAAATAAGACTATACACATGTATCAGTCACATCATTAAACCAAACACCTTGTGTCCCAGGGCCCTGGCGTAATTACATGAAGGGAAATGTCAGAAAATACCTTCTCCTGATACTAAACAAAACAAGAGACTATAATAATAATCGAACTAAAAGATTAATAACAAGCAAAAGAAAGACATTTAAAAGAACTTCAGACCATAACGTTGGTATCCATTGAATTAAAATATTCCAAAACACATGAAATTCTTCTTTATTTCTGGTTTGAGAAGAATTCGCCAACTTGGCCTGAAAGCAAAAACAGAAGCATCAAATNAAGCAAAAACAGAAGCATCAAATTTTCCTGTCTAAGATGCTAAGATAAAAAAAAAATTACCATTAGCATTGGCTTATATTCTAGTGCAGCGGTCCCCAACCACCGGGCCGCGGACCGGTACCGGTCCGTCGGTCCTTTGGTACCGGGCCACACAGAATAATTTATCGACGATCAGAGTCTGAGTGATGTTTTATTTTGAAAAATATAAAAAATTGCGGTATTCTCTCCCAATAACATCAGTCGGCGCATCTGTGCCTCTTGACACAGGTTAAGACTCATCCTATCTATAACATCCTATCTTTGTGAAGCGGGATTTTCTGCGGTTACAGCGACCAAAACAAAGCTACGGAGCAGACGACATCAGGAGCACACTTCGCCTGTCATTGTCTCCGATTACGCCACGATGGGACCGGCTTATTGTTTTATTTTTATGCTGTTTGTATTTGATTTTATGCCAGCTGATAATTTTACTTGATCGTATTCACCCGGGGGGGTGGGGGGATGGATTTGAATTAGATCAAGTAAAAAACGGCCTGTTAAAGCTCCAGTTTTATAAATACAGGTTTATAATATGATTTTATTTTGTTTTTATTTTGATCCATTACTAACTTCCAGGCAAAATATTTATGTGTTTTTTGTTTTATTTGCAAAAGAAAACATAAAAAGCCTCAGAATTAAACGCACAAATAAAAGATTAAGTAAAATATTTTTTTTTTATTGTACGTTCCACTTTTGGACAGTCATCAACACTTTTGACTGAGAGGAGAACTCAGGGTAAGACAAGATGCCCAAACGGGTTCACAAGGTCTTTAACAGGGGGTCAGCGAACCTTAGGGGGTCCACGGAGGTACTGCATGGGGGTTTGCAAAAGTTTTGGTTTATTAGACTTTTTTTTTTTTTATGCCCAAAATGCCCAAATGGAGGCCGAAGATGTCTTTCAGTCATCAATGCACACATTCAGCGACACGCAGGAGCTCTTTCAAGCTGGACACCGTTTCATTCAAAACACCTGTTCCATCAATCAGGAATGAGAATTAGTAATACTTTGATTTTCCCAGGGAGGAATTACTTTCAATAAATTACTCAATGTGTAATAGAGTAACTATAGGACCAGTTTCATATAACACAATTTCATACAATATACATAATTAGGGGGTCCCCGCTCCATCTCGCCATCAGTTTGGGGATCCTTGGCCTGGAAAATGTTGAAGACCCTTGTTCTAGATGACAAGGTGTCTTTTTTAACCATAGAATAGCAAGTATAATTAAATGAGCTTTTCCCAGCCTTCTATTTGCAAATAAAATCTACATCAGTAGGAAAATAAGTTTTCAAATGTGTTTTAAAGTCTATTTTTTAATGTATAGTTCACCAGACAGTCTCCCTTCTGTTCTCTTTACCAGATGGTCCTGTGGACTACAGTCAACTACCAGAGTCACTACGCTATATTAAAAGGAAACAAGGAGCTCTGGAGTGGAAAAATGCATTCGTCAAAACAAACAAAATAGCTCAATTATACTTGAGAAGCAACTTCTGGAAGAACCTAAGGTATCACATGCCAGCTGTGCCTGGAAGAAGACTTCAGAGTACTGCTTGATGTGGTGAACATACAGTACGGAGTTTATCCAGGAAGTTTACGGATGGCATCCATCCATTTTTACTCTGGGATGATTTTGTTGTCCTCACATGGAGAATGGATGTTTGAACTGTCATTCATCAGAAGGTGGATGATTTCTTTAAAAATATACTTTTATAAAGTCAGACCTACTTGAATGAAATTTGCAGTTTACAGATGGGGGGATGATAAGGCAAATTAATTATTTTACCAAGTGTATTTTACTAAAGATTTTTTTTTTTATCAATGGTATTTATTTATTTTTTTAGTGAATGTTTAGGTTTATTTACAAACCAAAAGCAGTTACACTATCTTAATTGTCAACTTTTTGCTTTGATTATATTTCTATTCCATTAGTTTTCTCAAAATATAATTACAGAGCAAAAAATAAATAAATTTAACACATTTCTTTTAGCCTTTTAAGGGTACGTAGCATGATGTAAAATGTGTTTTTGCTAAAGATAGATAAAGATGTGCTGTTACTTTGCCTTTGGTAAGGATTTTATAGCAGACAAAGGAAAAACAACAAGACATTTGGGATACTTCAGTTATGGCAAAAAGCTATACAGTACCGCTAATTTGTGAGACTTAAGCTGATCGCCAACTCTGGCCACATAACTTTGATTTAAGTTGTATATATGCGAAAAAACCTTAATTTTCCTGTTTTTCCTTTCCTGTTCTACTTACATTGCAGTGTCCATATTATCTGAAATACTCCCTGCACGAATTATAATAAAGCTATTTATTTGCATAAATTAAGCGGAACACCATGGCGATAGCCGTACTGCTCCACTTGTGAAAGTAAAATGTGTTGGAAAGTAAAAATCAAGACAATTATTCTTATTGCCACATATCCAGACAGGACAGTGAAAAAAATAAAATAAAATAAAAGTGGTTTTACAGTTTTACAGTAAGCACAAAACTGTTTTTTTTTTTCGTCAAAGGACTGCCTGTGAAGGACAGGGGAGTACTTAGTCGAAAGCGCAAGGGGTAAATCTTGTTTGTTTTTTAGCTTACTTTTTTTGTTTTATTTTTAGCCTGCTTATTTTTTAATATGCAATAAAAAAAAACCCTACTTGATTTAAGTTGGGTTATGTCTACAAATGTCCATGAGTCATGATTGTTGTGGTACCTCCTGTCTTATTAAGAACATATTTTTCTCTGTTTTTTCCTTAATAATTTCATATGCAGGGTAACCTTCCTTATGCAAGGCACTAAAGGTTATTTACCTCAATGATTTTCCAAATGATTACCATATCATTAAAATATAACCCATTATGAGGTTATCATACTTATGCATTAAATCTGACAAAATACATAAACAGAATTGTATTAGACTCTGTTTCATTCATTTTGCAATATAACCATAGAATATTTATAACAGTCTGGAGATACACTGAAAAAGGGACCTTTTGGTCCTGTAAATATTACCTAGTTTTTTAAGTAAACTTTACTGCAAAGTGCTCTTAAGTGTCTTTAGTTCAGGATCTTTCTGCATGGAGTACTCTGGCTTCCTCTCAGAGTCTAAAAAATGACTGATACTTTAATTGGCTTCTCTAGAATAAACCATAGACTGCTGTTGTTAGGCTTTGGCCCACCCATGACTCTGAGAAGCGTGAAAAGATGGATGGACACATTTTTACATCTTTGTCTTAATCAGCAAATATGCAGTTACTGGCTGAATCTGACCAGAATTTTTTTTTATTTCACTGAGTTCTATTGAATGAATTGTATATAATGAAAATTAAAAATAGCGAAATTAGTAATTAGAAATTGACTTAATTATTAATTAAAAATAAAGCAAAGAAAAATCATTACTTTCGCCTTAAGTTTTAGGATTGAATAAAACATTAGTGGTGTAAAATTTACTAACAAAAGAAAAGCACATCTTTAGTTAAGCTGGACAAGTTCAGTTTAGGCAACTGTACTTGAAGTTTTCTAGAGGAAATTTTGCCTCTCATCTAAGAGGTTCCGCAGTTCTAATTAGTGGTGGGGAGCACTGAGATTAATATACTGTAGGTATAACAAAGAACCAGGGTGAACAAAAGATGGCACTGATCCCTCCTATTGGATTGGCCATGAAGGTCAGCTGTGGGGTGTTAATGGTCATTAGGGGGTTTCAGTCTCATGCCTCATTAAAGTGTGAGTCAGTGGTGAATCTTCTGGATATATTTCCTAAAAGTGCTTTTTAAGTAGGTAAAAGGTTATGTCTAAGACCACTTCCTCTGTTGAGAGATGGTTTTTCCAGGTTAACAAAGAGGGCTTCCTTAACCCCTCTCTCAAACCATCTTTCTTCCTTGCCAAGAATGTGGACATTGTTGTCCTCAAACAAGTGTCCTTCATCCTTCAGGTGTTAGAGAACAGCTGAGTGCTGTCCTGAGGAGTTGGCCCTCCTGTGTTGAGCCATGCACTTTTGTAGCGGTTGCTTGGTATTTTCAATGTACAGGTCTTTGCACTCCTCACTACACTGAAAGGCATAAACCAGGTCGTTGGTCTTGTCTCTGGGTGTCTTATCTTTGGCGTGAACCAGTTTTTGTCTCAGGGTGTTGCCAGGTTTGAAGTGCACAGGGATCCAGTGCTGGTTGAAATCCTCCTTTTTCAGAGACTCCAGCAACATATGGAATGATGATGTACCTTCTTCTTTTTTCTTCCCTTTCAGCAGAACTCTTCTCGTTGGTTTTTTAAAAAGCCCATGTGGGATAACCACAGTTACAGATTGTTAAACCTACAGTTTATTAATCTCAGTGCTCCCCACCGCTACTGTAGTTATAACTGAAGAAGCCTCTTCTGTCTTCTAAAAAACTTCACGTCCAGTTGCCTAAACTGAACTTGTCAAGCTTGACCATGACCTGGATGACTGAGAAACTTCACAGATATGTTACATCTTTATTTGTTTGGAGAAATTATTGGTAAAATCTAATTTAGTTTGTGAAATATTTTCTTCTTACTAAGCAAACTTCTATTTTATTAACATTTACAAAGAATTTCTGTGGAAAAAGTTACCTAGTTTTCTGAGTAAATAGTGCTCCAATTTTTTTCAGTGTATCTGACCATTGATGTCCAACAAGGCAGAGACCCAAGGCATGGCCAAGAACATGCTGAGGGACTTGGGTTGTGTTCAGTCCTTCGAAGGCCATGAAAATAAGGAGGTTGGAAGAGTTTGGCTATAGAATCTAGCCTTATTCTACTATCACCGCCCCTCACTCAGTTTACGCTCTGTAGCCTAGCAGCCATGACAGTTGATGCACAAAGGCTGGATGCTGAAGAACTTACTACTGTTCTGTATGCTAATGACATCTTTGAGCAGCCTCAGCAGCATACTGTCGTCATAGATATTAGTTTCATTGTAGTCCCCACACTGCACAGATATATTGGAATCTGTGCTTAAAATGTCAGAAAAACCCATTTGCCCGCCCACCTGTCTGACCAGGCAGGTGGGCGGTTTCAGTCGCTCCATACCTGGTTTGGTAGTCATTCCAAATTAGACAGCATAAAACCTCACACCTCAACAATCCCAGGGATAATCGGAAACTCCTACCTCCAGATAAGGACTTTTTTTCTGGACATGTGGATAATATCTTTCTGCTGAAATAAAGTAATTTTTTCCATAAACAACTTTACAACTAAAGAAAATCTGAAGGACACATTTCTGACAAACATCTCTGTAATTTAAAAGCTGTATGACAGTCTATAACAGTGTTAGGGAAGTTTCTTCCTAAATGTAATATATTTCATGTTACAAGTTACCTTTGTTAGAAAGTAAAAGTTTCTTTACAATATGACTATCTTTGTAAAATAATGAGTTACTGATTACTTTTTAGTTACTTTCGCCAGTTAGGACAAGGCATTACAAAATAGGGTGTGCACTATTTTTTTTCATAAATAGCTGAATCACAAAAATATAATGATATAGTTCTTCTGCATGGAGTTTGCATGTTCTCCCTGTGCTTGCTTGGGTTCTCTCCGGGTACCCCGGCTTCCTCCCACAGTCCAAAAACATGACTGTTAGTTTAATTGGTTTGTATGAATTCTCCTTAGGTGTGAGTGTGTGCATGAAAGATTGTTTGTATTGTTTGTCTCTGTGTTGCCCTTGGACAGACTGGCGACCTGTCCAGGGTGTACCCCGCCTCTCACACGTAGACAGCTGGAGATAGGCACCCCAGCAGGGATAAAGCGTGACAGAAATGGAAGGATGGATGGATAAGTAATACAAATCTTAACACAACACAACACTTTATTTTGGCAACTACTTGAAAAAGAGTAAAACACATTTTAAAATCATATATACTTGTATATAAATTCAGACATCAAGGGGTTTAATGACCTTTTGTGGAAGCATGTTTATACTTTTACAAAACTACTATATCTACATTTAAAAGGGGTCATAGAATGCAACACAGAGTTTCCATTGTCATAGATGAATAACGATAGTTCAGTGGGTGACATGGACGTACAGAGAAGTTCAAATCCCATCGACACCTCCTTTATCTGCAAATCTCACAATTCTATACTTCCACCATAAAACGGGCGAATTCAGACGAAACACAGAGTTGACGTAAACTCGGGAATGTTGCCTTATTTGGTATTGGCCTGGACTTTTGTCATGCCCAGGGGGGCGGGCATGAAGTGTCGACTGCTGGGTCGCTGACTGGACCGGACCTCAGCAGAGAGCCATGAGTCGCCCGTCTTCCGCCGGAGGAGGAGGTGGGGGCTTGTGCACAGGCTACCGTCACTGGGTCAGGTTTGGTTGCTGCTTCCCCCGCTGGCTTCTGCCCCTGTCCACTGGGGTTCCAGGACAAGTCCCGGAGCTCACAGCTCAATTATACTGCACTGTAATCGACCAAAAACCCGGAAGATTTTGAAATTCCCCCCAAGAATTTTTGGGTATGAAAAGCAGGACTTGTCCAGGAAAAAGAGGTCATCTGGTCACCCTACCATATTAACAATTTCAATGTTTCAGTGAGTGAGTGCTTGTTGCTATGATGCATCTTTGCTCAGCAGCTTCGCTCGTTGTAAACCAACCAATCAGATGGTAAAAATGGTAAATGGTATGTACTTATATAGCGCCTTTATTTAAGTCAGGAGACTTGACCAAAGCACTTTACACTACATTCACCCATTCACGCACACACTCACACACTGATGGTGGCAAGCTACATTGTAGCCACAGCTGCGCTG